CAATGTCCTTTGATACGTGGGACTTCAAATATTCTATCAAACAGCAAATACTCTGTAGCTGCAATAATTCTCTTGACCTCAAAACTAAACAGAGACATTTTCCTATTTGCACGGTTTTTCCCTCTCCAATAAGCTTCTCAAATTTGACTATATCAGATGGCTTTGTTGATTTCTGAGCTTGTGTCTAGGAAAGTAACTATTAATTAGTGTTGGCAATGGAGTATGCTTCATGCAATTTGAGCACTGCAACACTTACAGCGTACAATGAGGTGACTTGTTGTTCAACCAGGAGGGTCCGAAGTCTCTCTCCAAATTGAAGAAAGTAACCGCTTTACAAAGACATAGTACATTTTGTTAAAATTTTGTGTCCTTCAGAAGTTGAACAGAATTGTATTGATAAACATTGTCACGGTTTGTATATCAAATGACAAACACTTGTATGTACTGTATCTCATGAATTTGAAAAAAGTAACATTATTCCACAACATGTAAAATCAGACACTTACCAGAGTTTGTTACACTGTTTTCCCACACTTGGTTGTGCCCAAGAAGGAACATTGCAGGACTCTCTTCTTAGCTGCAGTTAGCAATCTAAGTTCTTTGATCCTGCTCCAGTTGCACCTCCAGATCACTGATTAAATACAATTGCTTATTTGGCAACTCACTCAATGCCATTAATTCTCTTCAAGGTCCCCTGCCAGTTTCTTCCAACTGCATTGAACCACTGGACCCTGCTTCACATGTCTTCCTCTTTTCCTAAGGGTTGAAGATTCTTTCGTGATCTCCAAAAATTGCGGACATTTCTATCATTGCCTCATCTACAGATATCTGAATTTATGTTGTCCGAATATACTCAGATTACTGATCCATATTTTTAATCAGTGTTGTTGTAATTACCTTTGCAGTCTATTTCACAGATGTCAAACATCGCTGAACCAGACATAGTCACACAGGTACATACATTCTACAACTGCCATTTAGCCTCCCTATGGAGGCTATTTGGCCTTTGCTCGACTTTTTTTACTTGCCGTTGAAGCAAAATTTGGAGATCTTTTATCCCCAGGAAGCTGTCTAAAATCCAAAAATTCTTTTCCTGCATAACTTAAAAAATAGTCACGAAGTATTTATTTGTCAATCAATTGAGAGTGTGCATTTTCTCATTCATGTGTCATGTGCTTAAACAATGTGTTCAGAAGAGGATTGTTTGAGAAACTTGTAACGAAACTATAATGGGCAGCAACACAAAATTGTTAATCTTCAATACCAAGCTGTTTTCAAAAGTTTTTTTTCATTGAACTTGCCCAGATTAAAGTAAAAATTATGTGCTCTCGGATTTTTCAAAGACTTGAGGTTTCAAACAACTTTTCAGGTTATAAATTCAGGTCTTGCTAACATTCGCCTGTTATCAAAAGCGCACATGTATTAAAATCCATGTCATCATTTGTAATGTAATTTTAAGCCTAAAGTCAACAAATAACCTATATAAATAATCTGTATTTGCTCAGTTTAATCTATTGGTAGATTACGACTTGAAAGGCCTTTCAAATAAAACAAAAGTCTTATGATCTCTCTATGGAGAGAAAATTAACCAAGTAACCTCTAAAGCTATCAGAGATAACTAACTTCTTTAGCATAAATTTTTTAAAAAAAAATACTTGTGCCAAGGCACAGAATGGGACATAGGATCAAACACTTCATAAGCCATCCAAGAAGTATCAGATTGCTCTTATGCTGTTGAGAAAATGGTCCATAAGTAGGCCAGTTGTTTCTTTATACAGATGGCGCAATCTTGCCTCCATGTATGATGTAAAGGTAAGTAAAGAAGGTAAAATCACCACATAGTCCGGGCAGACCATAGGGCTACTGTCATTAGAGAGAGACGACTGATGGTAGTTTAACTTGAGGGTTACCACGTTTCAGACAAGGGAAGAGGTTGCAAAGGAGTTTGCTTCATTGTAACCTCAGCCAGTGCAGGAATTGAACCCATGCTGTTGACATTACTGTGCAATACAAACCATCCATCCTGTCATTGCAAAGATGATTCTGGATAGGAGCGAAAGTAACAGGGTAGTTGTCATGGGGGACTTTAACTTTCCAAATATTGACTGGAAACGCTATAGTTCGAGTACTTCAGATGGGTCAGTTTTTGTCCAATGTGTGCAGGAGGGTTTCCTGACACAGTATGTAGATAGGCCAACAAGAGGCGAGGCCACATTGGATTTGGTACTGGGTAATGAACCAGGCCAGGTGTTAGATTTGGAGGTAGGTGAGCACTTTGGTGATAGTGACCACAATTCGGTTACGTTTACTTTAGCGATGGAAAGGGATCGGTATATACCACAGGGCAAGAGTTATAGTTGGGGGAAAGGCAACTATGAGGCGATGAGGCAAGATTTAGGATGCATAGGATGGAGAAGGAAACTGCAGGGGCTGGGCACAATTGAAATGTGGAGCTTGTTCAAGGAACAGCTACTGCGTGTCCTTGAGAAGTATGTACCTGTCAGGCAGGGAGGAAGTGGTCGAGCGAGGGAACCGTGGTTTACTAAAGAAGTTGAATTTCTTGTCAAGAGGAAGAAGGAGGCTTATGTAGAGATGAGGCGTGAAGGCTCAGTTAGGGCGCTTGAGAGTTACAAGTTAGCCAGGAAGGACCTAAAGAGAGAGCTAAGAAGAGCCAGGAGGGGACATGAGAAGTCTTTAGCAGGTAGGATCAAGGAAAACCCTAAAGCTTTCTATAGGTATGTCAGGAATAAAAGAATGACTAGAGTAAGATTGGGGCCGGTCAAGGACAGTAGTGGGAAGTTGTGCGTGGAGTCCGAAGAGATACGAGAGGTGCTAAATGAATATTTTTCATCAGTATTCACGCAGGAAAAAGACAATGTAGTCGAGGAGAATACTGAGATACAGGCTATTAGACTAGACGGGATTGAGGTTCATAAGGAGGAGGTGTTAGCAATTCTGGAAGGTGTGAAAATAGATAAGTCCCCTGGGCCAGATGGGATTTATCCTAGGATTCTCTGGGAAGCTAGAGAGGAGATTGCAGAGCCTTTGGCTTTGATCTTTATGTCGTCATTGTCTTCAGGAATAGTGCCAGAAGACTGGAGACTAGCAAATGTTGTCCCCTTGTTCAAGAAGGGGAGTAGAGACAACCTTGGTAATTGTAGACCAGTGAGCCTTACTTCGGTTGTGGGTAAAGTGTTGGAAAGGATTATAAGAGATAGGATTTATAATCATCTAGAAAGGAATAATTTGATTAGGGATAGTCAACACGGTTTTGTGAAGGGTAGGTCGTGCCTCACAAACCTTATTGAGTTCTTTGAGAAGGTGACCAAACAGGTGGATGAGGGTAAAGCGGTTGATGTGGTGTATTTGGATTTCAGTAAAGCGTTTGATAAGATTCCCCATGGTAGGCTATTGCAGAAAATACGGAGGCATGGGATTGAGGGTGATTTAGCGGTTTGGATCAGAAATTGGCTAGCTGTAAGAAGACAGAGGGTGGTGGTTGATGGGAAATGTTCATCCTGGAGTTCAGTTACTAGTGGTGTACCTCAAGGACCTGTTTTGGGGCCACTGCTGTTTGTCATTTTTATAAATGACCTGGATGAGGGCGTAGAAGGATGGGTTAGTAAATTTACGGATGACACCAAAGTCGGTGGAGTTGTGGATAGTGCAGAAGGATGTTGTAGGTTACAGAGGGACATAGATAAGCTGCAGAGCTGGGCTGAGAGGTGGCAAATGGAGTTTAATGCGGAAAAGTGTGAGGTGATTCACTTTGGAAGGAGTAACAGGAATACAGAGTACTGGGCTAATGGTAAGATTCTTGGTAGTGTGGATGAGCAGAAAGATCTCGGTGTCCATGTGCATAGATCACTGAAAGTTGCCACCCAGGTTGATAGCATTGTTAAGAAGGCGTACAGTATGTTAGGTTTTATTGGTAGAGGGATTGAGTTTCGGAGCCATGAGGTCATGTTGCAGCTGTACAAAACTCTGGTGCGGCCGCACTTGGAGTATTGCGTACAGTTCTGGTCACCGCATTATAGGAAGGATGTGGAAACATTGGAAAGGGTGCAGAGGAGATTTACCAGGATGTTGCCTGGTATGGAGGGAAGGTCTTATGAGGAAAGGCTGAGGGTTTTGAGGCTGTTTTCGTTAGAGAGAAGAAGGTTAAGAGGTGACTTGATAGAGACATACAAGATGATCAGAGGATTAGATAGGGTGGACAGTGGGAGCCTTTTTCCTCGGATGGTGATGCCTAGCACGAGGGGACATAGCTTTAAATTGAGGGGTGATAGATATAGGACAGATGTCAGAGGTAGGTTCTTTACTCAGAGAGTAGTAAGGGCGTGGAATGCCCTGCCTGCAAAAATAGTAGACTCGCCCACTTTAAGGGCATTTAAATGGTCATTGGATGAACATATGGATGATAATGGAATAGTTTAGGTTAGATGGGCTTCAGATTGGTTTCACAGGTCGGCGCAACATGGAGGGCCGAAGGGCCTGTACTGCGTTGTAATGTTCTATGTTCTATGTTCTATGTCAACTGAGGCAGCCAATCCCCCTGATAAAATGATGTAAAAATGTTGGTTAATACAAATTTAAAGTGGGAGGGCAGAAATTTTTAATTATTCAAATAGTTATGGTAACGGGTAAAGTTAGTCTGAGGTTGCCGGTGTGTGCTGGAGTAGCTGATCTTAATTTGTTCTCATGCCCCCAAGCTAAGAAAATAAAGTTAAAGTTAGTTTCAATATTCCATAGTCAGAAGGTGGAATATGGCCAGGGTTCACACTCTTAATTACTATTTAACAACTTCTGCCAGATGCGCACATGTACAGATGCAAGGTGAACATAGATTCAGACTTGCCTATAACAGCACCCTAAACAGTTGATTAGTTATCCACAGTGCACAAGAACCAGAGAGAGAAAGAAAATGCACATATTTCTTTATAAAGCAAAGTGTACTTGATGAATCCTTTACAAAAACAATATGAAGTGTTCCCACCTACCGAACGTTGCACATGGATGAGAAGTTTTTTCCAAAGGATTACTATTCAGTGCTCCATGCTTGTATATGAGGTGTGGTTTATTGTGCTCATCTTCATATTGCCCTCCATCTGGTTTCATGAGAGGTTCCAAAAAATATTGTCCATCAGGTGTTTGAAAAGTGCCCATCTGTCACAGGTAATAAGAATGAGGATTTAACACCAAACATGCTGTTCATTCAAAAAGGTCAATAATTCTGCTTAAGCTACAAAGAACCATTTTTCATTTCTCCGTCACAAGGCATGTTGGAGACACAACATTGGACATGAAACATTTACCACAATGGGAATGTGACCAATTTGAAATTCAATCATTAAATGCTGTATGGTGTAAAGCTACTTTCCTGGAATAGAGCCCAACCTGATAGGAATGTCAGTCACAGCATAGGACATGACACAGCCTGGAGCAAGCCAGGATCACAGCTCACTCATTGCAGCTGAAGTACATCAAATGCCTGCCATGAGACTTCTTTCACTCGAGCATCAAAGATTAAGGGGTGACCTTATGGAGGTTTATAAAATCATGAAGGGCAGAGATAAAGGTGAATAGCAAAGGTCTTTTCCCCAGAGCAGGGGAGCCCAAACTAGAGGGCATAGATTTAAGGTAACAAGGAAAAGATTTAAAAGGGGCTTGAGGAGCAACTCTTTCACACAGAGCCTGAAGGTATGTGGAATGAACTGCCAGAGAAAGCGGTAGGTGCAGATACAGTTACAACATCTAAGAGATATTTGGACAGGTACATAAATAGGAAAGGTTAGGAGGGATATGAGCTAAACGCAGGCAAGTGGGACCAGTTTAGCTTGGGAAATTTGGTCAGCATGGACAAGTTGGACCGTAGGGTCTGTTTCCATATTGACACTATTGTATTTATAAGCTCCTCTGTAGCCAAAACAGCAAATGGTTAAACCACTCCGTGACATTAAATTCCCATCACCTTAACTGACATTAAATATCCATCACCACGATGAAGTCAAAAATAAAACAAACACTTTGAACAATACATGCGTGTGTGATGGTTTTGAGCTTTTGAACATTTGCATTGGTCATGATATTGAGCTTCAAACTGCTTTGCAGTTAATCATGTTATTAAATCAAAGGTTCTGAATTAATATTTACCAATTTATCTATTTACTGAATCCTATCTGTTAACAATTGTCTTAAAGATAGAATGTCACCCCACCACAAAAATCATTGCACTGAAAATGTGCAATAAATAACAATTTGGAAGATATGGGATTGCTAGGGAATTAGCAGTTCAGTTCATTATCAATTCCAGCTATCCATTCCAATGAACATAACAGTTTTTAACAACATGTAGATGTGGAACAAGTCAATGTGAACAAAACAAACAATTGGAGAAGATTTCCTCTATTTATTGTTGGTAGCAAAACTGTAAATAAAAATTTAACAAATGCTGTCACCACAGATAAAAATCTTCCTGCAAACATTGGTTGTGTAAATTGTCTTTAAAAAGGAATTGTCACATTGGAAAATTCCAGGGCTGTTTCTACTCATATCTCAAAATTGTCCTTATTAGAAGAACAATGACAAATACATACAGTAAGGTAATTTTTACAAATATTTCCGGATATGACGATCTTAACTGCACATGCATCGAACTCTACAACTAAAATCTCCTGTAAGCTATTAAAAAAACCTTTACATTTATTTATGAAACTTTGTTACAAAAGATCATACTGTGCAACTTTGCTTTTCAACAAAATGTTCACAAGTGGGGTTGTGAAAGAAAGGAGCCTAGTGTATAGTTTACAGATGTTTTACATGCATTATGCTCCCTCAACCAGAGTTGAAGGCATCCTATGAGATGCTGTATCTCCATTTGCAGAGTGCAAGACCAGATATAGATATAATTTTTTAAAATTTTATTCGAGAGAGATGGATTTCTAGCATCTATTGCCTGTCCCTAATTGTCCAACAAGCAGTGAAGAGTCCATCTGGTGCCACATGTGGACGAGACCAAGTAAGGTCAGCAGATTTCCTTTCCTATAAAAGGACATTAGTGAATGAGCTGGGTTTTTAATAACAATTGACAATGACATGGTCACTATTAGGCTAGCTTTTCACCATCTGCCGTGATGGGATTTGAACCCATGTCCCTAGAACATTAGAGATAACACAGTGTGGAGCTGGAGGAGCACAGCGGGCCAGGCAGCATCAGTGGAGCAGGAAAGTAGACGTTTCTGGTCGGGACCCTTCTTCAGAAATTACCATTACACCACGGCCTTGTCACTTGGAAGGCAGGAGAGTGGGACTAGCTGAGGGAATTAATGGAGAACTGGCTATCTGGCCTCCTATTGTGCAGTTTTATAATCATAGTCTCATGTTTATGTTTCGGTAATGAAGACCAATACAAACCTTTCTGTGAATTTTGTTCTGGGTTTACAATCGCATTGAGAAATCTATTGTCTGACAGTATAGTTTCATAAATGATCGTTGCTTGGAAGCAGTTCAAAGAAAGTTCACTAGATTAACTCATGGGATGAATGAACTGGTTGACTAGATTCGGAGTTTTGTAGAATGAGAGGCCACCTCATTGAAACATACATTCATACTATATTCTGAGGCAGTATTGACAAGGCATATGCTGAGAGGTGATTGCACCTTGGGAGCAATACAACTAGGGGAGACTATTCCAAAATAAGGGGTTTCCCATTTAAGATGGAGATGAGAAATTTCTGTGTGTCAGTAGTATTTGGAATTCTCTTCTGCAGAGACTAGTGAATGCCTGGCAATTGAATATAATTAAAATTGAATGAGACAGATTACTGATGTAAATGGGCAAGTGGGCCAAATGGTCTGCTCCCTTTTCTATTGCTAATCATCTTACAACCAGCCTTGTATGCAACTCAACCCTAAAGTTATTCAGAGTCTACATGCCCTGAAATTATATCCACTTATTTTAAAGTACTGAAAGATTGTTGGAACACCTTAATTGCAAAATATTGATTGCATGATTCAATAAGGAGTTACAAATATAAATTTGAACCCTAACCAGCTGTTATACTGTACAAGTACACATAAACACTTTATGAACGAAACATGCGCACTGAGGGAGACTGTTTACAAGCTTGTGCAGTCTGCAGGTGCAAGGGAGGGAGGAAGTGCAAGAAAATTAAAAGAGACATACTTTAATAAAGCAGTTTTCACAACTTCAGGACACATCACTCACTGTTGAAGTACTTTTAAAAGTAATCAATATTATCATGCTGCAATGTAGAAAACACAGGAACCTAATATTTTCCAGCAAAGCAACTTGGTATTGAGATAAACAGTCAGATTGTCAATTTGTTTTATGTGCAAGTTGGGAAGTAAATGCTGGCCAACACCTCAGGAGGAATTCCAGGGTCCTCCTCCAAAATAATACAGTGGGATCATTAACATCCACCCAGCAGACAGGCGGAGCCTCAGCTGAACATCTGAAAGGTAGCACCTCCAAGAGTTCAACAAGTATTGCTTAAACCAAGATTATGTGCACAAGTCTCTACAGTGGGACATGAACCCACAAGCCAAGGCATGCAAGCATTTGAGTCAAGTGTTGGAAAATGGAATCATAGAGTCATACTGCACAGAACAGACCCTTCGATCCAAACAATCGACACAGAACAATCTTAAACTAAACTAGTCCCACCTGCCTGCACTTGGCCCATATCCCTCCAAACGTTTCTTATTCATGTACTTATCTAAACGTCTTTTAAACATTGTAACTGCACCTGCATCCATCACTTCCTCTAGAATTTCATTCCACACATAAGTCACTCTTCTGTGTAAAAGGTTTGCGCCTCATGTCTTTTTTAAATCTTTCTCCTCTCACCTTAAAAAATGCCCCGTAATCTTGAAATCCCCCACCCCAAGGAAAAGATACCAGTCATTCACGTTATCTATACCACTCATGATTTTATAAACCTCTAAAAGGTCACCCCTCAACCTCCTACATTCTAGTAAAAAAAAGCCGCAGCCTATCAGCCTCTCCTTATAACTCAAACCACTCCATTCCTTGTAACATCCTGGTAAATCTCTTCTGAACCCTCTGTAGCTTAATGACATCCTTCCTATAACAAGGAGACCAGAACTAGACACAGTACTCCAGAAGACGCCTCATCAACCTGTACAACCTCAACATGATGTCCCAACTCCTATACTCAAGGGTCTGAGCAATGAAGGCAAGTGTGCTAAACGCCTTCTTAACCACCCTATCTGTATGTGATGCAAACTTCAAAGAATTATGTTACTGAACCCCTATGCCCCTCTGTCCTACAACACTACCAAAGGCCCTAATTTCAATCGTATGAGTCTTGCCTCTTTGTTTTAGCAAAATGCAACACCTTGCATTTATCCAAATTAAACTTCATTTGCCACTTTTCAGCCCATTGACCCAATTGATCAAGATCTCTTTGTAATCTTAGATAGTTAGAATAGTTAAGAGGTTGTTTTGACCAGCACAGACTCAATGGGCTGAACAGCCTTTTCTTTGACTCTATGACTAAATTTGCGATAAGAGATTGCTATCAGCGAGTTGCATAAAATAGACAGGAAAGTACAACAATAACCACAACAATCCTTAAAAATCATTTCTGCATGAAAGATTCACAGAAAGTGACACACAAAAAAACTCAAAGCTTTATCCTCTACTTCAAATGTGTGAGCAAGATATCAGAATGGGGTAAGATCATAATTTTGTCAAACAAAATCCAGATCATATTTTCTTCCCAGGGTTCTAATAATCAATAATAGTTAAGACCAGGTGAGAAAGGATGAACTGGCTCAACCTTTTTGGTTAGTCACAACAAGGGTTTAAATTCTTTTTATACAAGGATCAGCCTCGGTCCAATTAAAGTGCAGTGAACTATTTTTGTTGAGATCAAAAAGGAGCTAATCAACAAGGTTTTCACGAGTGAAAGAAAGAGAAAGTGTATTAAACCCGACAAAACAATAAAAAAAAACAATGTAACCTCAACCATAAAGCCTTTGTGCAGTCATTTGGGTCACAGACAAAAAAGTACAAGGTTTAAAGGGAATACTGGCAGTAGCAGCATGCAGTGGACAGGACTCACAACCAACAGGTCAGATCTAAGCTGGGGACAATTAAACAATGAACAGGAGGTGGAAGA